TGTTGACTCTGGGTGAGATTTGACTGATGTACTCTGCAGTACATGGAACCAAATCTGTGTGAGCAGAGGGGCTGCTGTTCGCTTGTCTCTGAGGGGGAACTCCGCATGACTTCAATGTCTTTTTTCCTTTCTCTGGAGAAAAGAGCTTCCATTGGTACTAGTAAGATGTGCTGAGAGATTAGAATAGGCTGAATGCTGTTTGCAGTCCCTGTGGTATTCCTATATTCGTAGTCTCACTATGTCTCCTAAGCATACATAATAGTAGAATGATTTGATATTTCCTAATGAAAAAATTGATATTTGAAATGTGCATTTAAAATAAGCAGAAACACTGAAAGGTTTAATACATCTTAATGCATATATAATGACCAGATTTCAAATTACAGGTCTCTATTTTCTGCAGATTTTTCCTGCAACAGTGTACCCAACATAAAAATGTTGCAGAGTCTCTAAGATGGCTGATGTATGGGTATTTGTTAAGAATTTCTAACTTGAAAAGACAACAGGCATTCATCTTCCCTCTAAAGCACTTGCATTTGCAGTGTGAAGATTAGGAAGATGAAAAATCAAGTTACAGAATTTAACAGATATTTCATTACTAGCACTGTTAGTTGGTACATAGATGAAAATATCCTAGACAAGTAAATAGGCACTAAGCAGATTTACATAATGGTAAACAGGAGTCTCCTCTGTTCCAATTGTGTGAATCCAGGGCAATATGACTGAAATCAATAGTTATTTTGTGTTTCTAGAGAAATAAAAGCACACCTTTGCTCGGTGATTCTGCAGAACCATTGACCGTGTTTCTGTGTCATTGGTTCAGCTGTTTGTTCTATTCCTTCAATTCTTTTCAAGACGTTAGTTCTCTTATGCCTTAATGGTAAGTGGAGTATTACAAATATTTGCTTTGTATATTATTTGCATTTATTGCATGTAGCAAAGCTTCCAGTTAAATCTTAACACTCCCTTCCCTTCACATCACCATTTCCCACTGTTCATCAGTGCTCAGGACACAGAAACACTGTGACTTGATCATCATGGAATACATTTCTCCCCCCTAAGTAGCATTTCCTATAGAGGTGCTGATCAAAGACTAGGTGACAAACTCTATATCCTGATGCTATTTCTTTCTTTCATCAAGTTGGTATAAATAAGAGATGACTACAAACATCTCTCTAGACATACCCAGGGAATTTTTAGATCATGATCATTGTGGATCATTGTGGTTTTTTTTTTGTTTTTTTTTTGTTTTTTTCTTTGTTATTTATGTGAGTAAATACAGATTTTGATTGCAAGGCAAGACTTCACAAAGACAGCTTTAGATTGACTAATGTGAGCTGTGATCTCTTCCATACCCTTTTCCTGTTAACACACATTTTCATTTTAACAACGATATCTGGGCCACAAGGAATGATTCATGAGTCTGAGAATCATGAAAGTGGCAGAACTCAGGCCAGTGCTTCTAGCCTACTCAAGCACTTGTATTTTGATAGTTAAAAACCTTGAGGGAGACATTCACTGCTGTATATATTACATATACTTATTCCAGAGAGAAAGCAGAAAAGCAGCACAATGTATATATGCCATGTTGAAAAGAGCTAATTTTCACAAGCTAATGAAGTGACTAGTGAATTTTAATGCTTTGTGAAACATTAATCAGTCATTTCTATTAAAATATTGAAGATATTACATACTATGTCATAACCTCTATACCTTCAGTGATACAAAAGCCTATAAAAAGAAATATGGATATAGCCTTAATGGAATATGTAATTTTTTTCACAGACTTTGCTGTGCCATTTTCTCATACCTTTGTTAAAAATGGGGCTACATTGTGGATTCCGAGTCGAGCTTGTTTAGTTTTTAGTATCTCCCCTCACCCCCTGCACACACTCTGACCAGTACTCATGTATTTTCAGAGAACCCAGAGCTGAGTCTGGTCATAATGAAGTTATTTAAAGAGAAAAATCCAATAATACCAATAGAAGATGGTTTGGATCCACTCTTTTCAGGAAATATTGGCTTTCAAGAAAATACAAATGGATTAAAAAGCGCCACATCCCTTTATGTAAGAACAGATTTTGCCTTTTCTATTGAAGGTATTGTTAACAGCTCAACACAAGGGGAAATAGCAATAGGTTCTCAGAGAATCAAAGCAGCATGTATATAACAATGCTTTTGTCTTTGATGATAAAGCTAATGGTTCTCTACTTTCTAAAATGCCTCTGTATCTCCAATAGATTTTCCATACATTATTTTTCAGCCACTTCTGCTGGACAACGTGAAGCTTTCTTAGAATTACAATCAATAAATGAAAATATAAAAGTCTTTATTTACACTACCATTCAGGGGCTCTAATGCAGTCCTTGTAGTGCAATACATCACAGTTCTATACCTTTCCTTAGGGTTTATTCTCTCTTTTACACAACTGCAAATGGGTTTAAATCAAACCAAACACCTAGAGACTTTACAGTTGTATTTTTCTATCCTAAATGAGTAGATGTTTCTCTACCTGTCATATACCCAATCCATACAACAGTAAGAAACAGTTTCAAAGTATTAGGGAGGAAAGCAACCAGTCACACTGGCATATCCTCCAATCTGTGTGACACAATTGTTTGTGCTGACAGCTATTCCTTTCTGTTTATGAAAAAGAAAAGAAAGAACACATATTTAATTGCCTGTATCCTTCAAAAGTAAGGAACTCAACTTACTCTAAATACATAAATACAGGTAAAAGTAACTACTTGCAAAAATTTTAGAATGAAATAGCCTTAAGCCTTTCCAGCAGCATCTGCACAGATTGAACTAGATTAGATGCTAAACCTATCATTTTCACAATTCAGATACATAGTATTTTATCTGTTTAATAGGCTTCCTTTTTTTCTCTTTGCAACTCAACAACAATTACAAGCGCTATGAATATTGATACAACATAAACACAAGTTGCTTTTTCCTCACATTTTTTCCTTGAAATCTCTCATAGATATTTAGGTACTAGAGGTGTTGCAAATAACAAATTTCACCAACATGAATGATAAGGCTGTGGAGAAGAGATGGCTGAAATGTCAAACATAAAAAGTCCTCAACAATAAAGACAGGTTCTTAGGATAAAAATGACAGACATACATGAGAGAGAGACAGAGAAGAGAGAGAAAGGGAGAGAGAGAGGGATTACAGGGAATGGAAGATAAAAACCTTTTCTTTCAGCATCTGAAAACAAACTACTTCATAGATACCTATGTACCTGATTTCAGAAACCCAAACATAGACACAAGTGTCAAACAAATGTGAGACTACTTTTGCACATGGATATTAGAAAATTTTCAGACACAAACACAACACACGTTAGCACTAAAGCAAAACTGCCAAAACTGTGAACATGCTTCCTTTGCCTTGTTACATGTTACATTAAGGCATACCTATTCATGATTAGCTTTTCTTAATTTCAACTAATAATTAGTTCTGAGATATCAGTCTGGATTTTTGATTTAGATATGTTGTTTCAGTATAATGAATATAGCTTATATAATAATATAGCCTATAAAATGATTATAACCTATTAAATTTAGAAATAGAGGAATATTAAAAGATACAAAGAAATTCAGGAATTTTGTGTTTACAAAAGACTATCTTGTCAATTCCAACTCATTTCAACTAATAATTTGGCCTTCCTGATAAAATGTCATATTTTGGTGGATGCTCTGTTTTAGAGTATCTATAAGTTGCCCAAATTTCCAGACCAATTTACAAGTGAAATACAATTTGAAACACAATGTACTTTAATTCAGCCTTCTTATTGCTACTGAGAAGTAGGATGCTCTTTTAACCATTCTATTCTGTTCTACTCTACTCACTCTTTGTTCTGTTCCATTCTAAATGTTTTTGTTATAACTGCACATGAAATCGGAAAACTAGATACTGGACAGTTACTTTTCTGTTCCTTTGCCAAGTAATTGTCTTCTATCTGTTTTATTTTTCTCCACATTGAAAATGTACCTAGTTATACTCTAAACGTGTGCTCTTATGTCAAAAACAAATTATTTAAGACATAGAAAAAATTCAGAACAAGAAAAGGAAAAAGGATCAAATAAAGGAGATGTGCATTTATCAACTTATATACGTACACTCAATAGTAACGAAAGAACAAACACTGCTACTTTAATAGGCAGATGGACACTTATGCAGGTCTCCTAACAGAAGCACAGGTACAACATGGGCATTTTTCTCATGTACTGTATAGTTCTCTTCCATTTAGAGTTCACTCCTGCAGAATAAGTATGTACCTCAATGGGAGACATGTTCTGGATAGGTATGAATATCTAGTTCAGAAAGAAGATGACCTGGAACACAGATTTCTAGAGAAATGACACTATCAGTCATCACAGGGTCACACTTGTAGCAAATTAATGTCTTTGTAATGCTTTGTCATGAGATGTATTCTTAAGATTTTTTATTTTTTTTTTAAATCAACATTGGACTAAAAAATAGGCAGTATCCGTGCAATCTAGCATCCATTAACCTCTCAATTGTATCATTTGTAAAATGTGGAGGAGGATCAATTCTCTTCCAGAAGTAGTATAACAACAGTATCAGATTTATAGTATTAAAATAAACATAATGAATGAAAAATAGCTAAGGAAGTGTATATCATTTATATCCTTCAGGTAAGAGAAATTTAAGGAGCTGTCTTGAGATACTGCAAGCTTGGAGCACTTGGAGCTGATCTACCAATGAGTTGCCTATTCACATGACCATGGCTGCCCTTTATTACTGTGACCTTCCAGCACTCTGCCATATAATTCTATCTTTAAGATTATGATCATTCCGATGGCTGTCATGATAAAACACATCAATTTGCTGTTATCTATTTTGGACAGAAGTCCCTGCAGTTAATTTTTCTAACATAAGCCTTTGTTTACTTTTCAGAAATTTTGCTAGCACTGCACCTAAAAGATGTCAATTATCTTCCTGTTGGCAACATTTATTTCTCATGGTTCACATGCTGGTCACTGGAAAAAAAATAATAAATAATATATTTTTATATACACACACATATATACATGTATATATATATGCAGTTTTTACCAAGTTTTTATCAAGCCTTGTAAAATTCAGGTTTCCAAATTGTTACATTTAAGAACTTTTAAGAACTCCCAACAACTGATGTAACCAACAAGCAGCACAAACCGGTACATAAGGTAGAAGAGCCTAGGTTGGATCCTAAATAACTGTATTCATTTACTACTTCTATAGTTCAATGGCTGTGATGACTTGCATCTTATTTTGATTAATGAAATCTAGATTTTTGACATATTCACAAATAGTATTTTTGATTTTTTTTTTTAGATTTTTTTTTCCTGCCAAATTGATGGTTGCAAAAAGACAGTTTCACTGTTACAACTAAAAGCTGCTAAAGGGTTTTAATCAATGGGACATCTGTTTCACCATGTACGGTCTTTCCCTTATACCATTATAATGCCTCTGTCACACAAAGAAAAGGCTGCAAACTGAACACGCTCTTGTCACATACCCTTCCACAACCCATTTACTTGATTTCGATGACAGGAGTTAATTGTGTCATCATACACACATACATTTTCAGATACACACCATCAACACACATACACATGAGTGAAATAATAAGAAATGATGTTTCTGAGTAGTCACCAAAGCAATCTTCATTGCTCACACTATCCCATGTGTCTTCCAATAATTTGACGGGGAAGTATCTTGACAAACAAAACTACTATTTTTACTGCCTAAAGATGATTTTCTCTTGATAATCTGTTGCAGCTTCTGGCCTATAATTCTTGCCATCTTGAGCAACTTGTGGATCATCTTGTCTTTGATACTTTGAGAAAAAGCATAGTCAATGTCTTCCTACTGCCTTACCTCCTGTTTGCAGCTGTTGGTGGTTGACTAATCGACACAAATTCCACTTCCTAAAGGCAGTTTCTTGACTGGGACTCTGCCACACAAGGAATGAAACCAGTCAAAGCTATTTTCCACTTCATAAGATTAAAGGAATTTTAAAAACTGTCAGTCAGTTACAAATGCAATTGACGAATACAATTTCTGCAGCTGGATTCAATGATGCCCATAAGATTTACATGAGGGTTTAAATTTCTGGTTAACATAAGAAATTTCATGGAATTAATACTCCAAAGCTTCCCAGCTCAAATTCTAGTCAATCTAAGACTTTTATGAACACAGAACTATATATATCCATATATAAATATATACTTCATCAGCAGGCATGTAAAATTCACAATTTTACATGATATATCTAATACCTATGAATTTTAGGATAAGACTCTATTCCCAATTGTGCTAATGTTATATGTGGAATTACTACACTAACCAAATGAATTAATTACCCATAAATCCCATGTTAACCATACATCTTTGTGAAAGTTAGGGAAATTGAGAACGTGAAAAACAGAAGCGTATAATTATTATCTAAAATTATGAGTAGAACAAAAGTCCATTGCAAATATAACTCACTGGATTAAAAAGACAGACAAAAGCTCAATTTCAAATTTTACTGTTTATATTTTTTGTATGTCTAGTATCTGAATTTTTGTTAAAAAATGCATTCCAATCATCCAAATGAGTTTTTCTGAATACCTAACAAATTATACATTAGATGGAGCTGTGATATTATTTTTCTAATTATTTTATACATGTGAATGAAAAGAAAAAACTGCTCTAGTACAGAATCATGGAAATCTACCAATATCTCTAATGAAATTGTAATTCATCTTTGCATCCACAAGGATTAAAAAAGTAAAGCGGTGGAACATCCTTCAGCCAGCTAAATGAATCTCATTCATATTTTCCCTACGTCCTCCACAGTCTTGTGTACAACTCAGATCTACTCATTTCCACTGAGTTAGTTATTTTAGTTTCAGCAGTACCTTAGCTCTGGGACTGCTCTTTGACATAACTATGACTGAGCTTAAGTCTAATGTTTTGTTTTTCAGACAACTATGCCTCTATGCATTTTTTTAACCTTTTTTAAAATTATTTTAGTTACTTTTATTTTAATCTTATTAGGCCTCTCTCAATCTCCTTCAGACATTTTTAAACTAAGCTTTTATTTTCATCAATCCCATTCTAAATGAAAGCCAGCAGTATACTGCCATTCTTAAACATTTATCTATAACCTGCATATTCCCATGCAGATGAAAACATTCTCAAAACTGTTATTTCAGGAGTGTAATTTCAAATCTGTGTGTGCTCTTGGGAAGTGAACTGATTTTACATTAGCTTCAGTATTGTTTCATCAATCTTGTGTAGCACATATTTAACTTTCTTTGACACTAACTCCATTTCTTCCATAATCAAATTGATTATGCATTTTGAGATACAACATTTCTACCACTGTTCCCTTTTTACTCTGTTATTATCAGTAGCAACTTTACTGTATAAAAAAAATCACACCTTGTGCACTGAGATCTGGAAGTTCACTGCAGATTGCTGCATTATTAATTGCTAAGTCAACTAGTGGCAACAGGGAATCCAACTGCTGCCTATGGAAGGCCAAAAGGATTGTTAGGGAAGTATCTTTCTTAACAGCTGCTCTTTTTTCTTTCTTTCGTTCTTTCAGGGAATGCAGTCTGTTTTGTTTTCCTAAAAACTTGCAAGTGGTGATAGTAAGTGTACAAAGAAACTCTACACAAGGGACTGCGCTCTAATAGAAGCGTACCTTAATTTGATTATGTCACTAGAATTGTTTAGTAATGACTATTGAAGGCACAGAGAAAGAGTGCTGCAGCTATAATTATAGTACCTGACAGACCAACAAATTAAGTACTAGAAACCTCCGAATTTACCAATCCTTTCCTTTCCTGTCTTTCTACTGATGCAATATTTAAAATGCTTCACACAGACTCATGCATGTGCAGCACGACAATTGATTGACACAAGGCGATTTGTTTTCCTGAATGATACTGGTATGATCTTCACTCACAGTCTTTTATTGATCCTTGAAACAAATATCATCCTGTACTAGTTTCATTAGACAGGCTCTTTCTCGTTAATTACCGCTCACTCAAATCTTTTGGTGTTTCATTAACGTGAACAAATTGGAAGAATTAAATAAACAATCCATGTCAGGCTGCCACTGTGGCTCTCTCATTCCTGGTCTTTAATTCCCTAGAATGCCAATAAGGAAAGAAACTCCCTTCCCTTCCCTTCCCTTCCCTTCCCTTCCCTTCCCTTCCCTTCCCTTCCCTTCCCTTCCCTTCCCTTCCCTTCCCTTCCCTTCCCTTCCCTTCCCTTCCCTTCCCTTCCCTTCCCTTCCCTTCCCTTCCCTTCCCTTCCCTTCCCTTCCCTTCCCTTCCCTTCCCTTCCCTTCCCTTCCCTTCCCTTCCCTTCCCTTCCCTTCCCTTCCCTTCCCTTCCTCTATTTTCCTTTCCTCTTTTTGGCATTTCTGAGATCAAGTAACAACAAAGTGGTGCAATGCACCATAAGGATTGACTAAATCAAGTTGGAAAATAGTATGAAAGACTTGGCTGACTATATTGCAAATACTTTTGGACTTCAGGGAGTTGTTCTACCTAACTGCAGCTACATGCAGTTTCATCAGTTTGTCTGCAACAGATCAGAAAGAATGGTTTCCCTCTATTCACAAAGAAGAGAATGAAAGACTAAATAGCAGAGATTATTTGTATAGAGATTTCCAAAAAGTATATTATATTATACTGCTTTGATAAAAACATTTGAAAACTATGTCTGCAGGGAAAAAAAAAAAAAAAAAAAAAAAAAAGGCTTTCAGATCTCCTTTACAAATCTCCCTCACAAATCTCTCTCTTGAGTGGTAAAATTTGCAAATTTGAAAGAAAAAGTTTTAAAAATTTACTCATTCCCTACACTGCGTATAACTGATTTTAGAAGGCTATACAACAGTTGACATTGGAATTAGAGAACATTCCCTGTAGTTGGGAATATCTAACATAAGCTCAAGATTCAAGCTGATTAAGAACAGCCTAGGCATTTTTCACTAATGAATCCTTTACTCTGTGTGTTCTCATACTTCTGGAAATGTCTGAATTTCCTTATGCATACTTAGCAGCTTTATCAGTATTAATGTAATGATTCCCACACCTCTTTTCACTGCATTGTCATCCAGTCACTAACAGATTTCTTTTTAATCTGCAATGAACTGCTAGAAAAATATACAGCATCAGAATTCAGAGAACGACGCTATTTTTCAGTCTTCTCAAAATCAGAAACATCTGGAAATGATTCAGTTACTGGTTGTGTTTTTTTGTTTGTTTGTTTGTTTGCTTGCTTTTTTTTTGTTTGTTTCCTCCTTTTTTTTTTTCCCTTTTGTTTTCACTTCTTAACTAGCGTGTCTTCCCCAGGACACAAGCAAAATGGAAAGAAACCACAAGACTATCAACTATTGCTAATCTGCAATAAGTAACAGACCAAGAGTGTATCTGGGCAAAAATCCACTTTCCTTTTTTTCCTTTTTCAAGATAACATATGCACTATGTCATATTTACACTGAAGAAAGTGAAAGGCAATGATCTTAATACATTAATAAATGTCGTGGTTTAACCCGGCCGGCAGCTAAACACCACGCAGCCGTTCGCTCACCCTCCCCCTCCCTCTCTGGGACGGGGGAGAGAAAAATGGGAAAGTGAAGCCCGTGAGTTGAGATAAATACAGTTTAATAAGACAGGAAAATACTACTACTACTACTACTACTACTACTACTAATAATAATAATAATAATAATAATAATACAATGGTGATAATAGTACTACTACTAACAATATGTACAAACAAGTGATGCACAATGCAATTGCTCACCACGCGCTGACCGATGCCCAGCCTAACCCCGAGCAGTCCGGCCCTCCTCCCCCTGGCTAGTCACCCCTATACATTATTTAGCATGACGTCAGATGGTATGGAATACCCCTTTGGCTAGTTTGGGTCACCTGTCCTGGGTCTGTCCCCTCCCAGCTCTTGCTGCACCCCCAGCCTGCCTGTTGGCAGGACAGAGCAAAAGGCTGAGATGTCCTTGGCTTGGTATAAGCACTGTTCTGCAACAATTAAAACATCGGGGTGTTATCAGCACTCTTCTCATCCCAAGCCAAAACACAGCATTCCACCAGCTACTAGGAAGAAAATTCTGTTCTGACTGAAACCAGGACAATAAAATAGGTATATTTTTGGCATCTCAAGCTCACACCTTGAACCTGTTCTTTTGATTTGGGGGACTAGGGGAGAGAAAGTTTTGGACTCAGTTTTCAGGATACATCCTCACATTTTCAGGATAAAGCACATACACTCAAAACCAACCAACCAAACAAACAAACAAAAACACTGTCAAGTGCCCCTATTTATCAGGTGAAAGCTGTAAAAATTAACAGCAATGTTAACATATATTTAAATGGACTGGAGACCAAAGGACAAACCATAATGTGAGGTTGAAAATACTGATTTGTCATCTTCCCTTCCTCCTCCATCCCCCTTTCACTCCCATTTCTCTTCAGTTTTCTGTCCTCTTCTCATCTTTATCTGAAAGGGACCTATCAGCTATTATGTGGCTGACTGGTAGTGATGAGACTGCCAAAATGTGACAGCCTTATCTGCAGCACAGCCCTGCAAATTGCCAACCATTGATCCGGTAGTCTGTGCCAGCTGATCAGTGCAAAGCTGTTTTGATTTCTTTTCTTCTGGGAAAGAAATGAACTTCTTTGCCAACAGTGACTATCCTGCCAGGGCTATTTCTCAGTCAGACAAAGGGCCTGAAAATTAGAATTTAGTTAGATGAATTAAAATGACATCCCTTTCTCCTCACTTGATTTTTGTAATACTAAGTATGCTGCATCCCATTCTGAAATGTGAGGAAAAACAATACAATTGATTACAATAATATCTCTTCAGACTTTATGTACATAAGTGTCTTTCAGGTATACAGTTTAGCATTGCCAGATCCCAAAAACCTTCTATCACAGGAGCTTTTCAAAGCGGTCTTTGTCTATTATTACAATCAAATTTCACTCCTGAAGACATTTCAGCAAGTTGTATCCCACTGTGAGAAGGAACAATATTTTGCTTTGCTTCTTCTCCCTTAATGATGTCCTTGTGGGATTATTTGAAAAAGTGTATTTATTTACCTCAAGAAAAAAAGAAAAATCAAAACCTAAAGAGGCAATCTCTGTTTTTACATCTATTTTGTAGCTCATACATATTTGTCCCTCAGTTGATAAATGATGCCAGCTTTACGGAAATAAAGAACATATGTAAGCTTCAACACAAAGAACAAACTGGATATACCAAAGAAAGACACAAAGCATCATTTTTTTTTGGCTACTTTTATCAAGAGGGGACATTTTGTTGTTTCTCTCTGTTTAACTCTACAATCTAAACATTCTCTTGATGAGCAGAGGTCCATGGATGGGTTTTTATTTGTTTGTTTTCTTAAAATTAATCAGTCACATTGCTGAGTAAAACAATAGCCTAGGGGTTGGCAGAAAACTTGGTGACACTAGATTCAGAAGAGATTTGTACAGATGAAATATAGTCTCAGTTTTGAAGCTTTGACTCTTGCTTTAATATACAGCACAATTAAGTTTAAAAAAAAAAAAAAAAGTATTTTCACACCAAATCACTTATCTACATTGAAAGATTTGTTGTTCTTTCACATTTTTCCCCTGTATTCTTTCTGCTTCATCCTTCAAAATTTCTTCATTTTATATCATCATTTCCTTGCCTATTTCTCAGTTTAGCTAAGCTTCCTGGGGAGGCATGCTTTTACTGGATTTAATTCTACATCTGCATCTCCTATTTCCTATTTTTCTTCTACATTCCTAAGTATTTCCCAAAACGTTCAATAGACTTCATTACAATACTTCTTTAAGTCAGAATATTTATCAGCCTACACAGTATGTTGCAAAATTAGCAGCATTTGTGTCAAACACTTTCTAACTTCCAGAGATGAAGTCAAGTGAATTAGAAAACTCGCTTCTTCTATCCAGTTACAAAAGATTTGTTGCCCTTTCACCCAAAATAAACTATTTTATATTGATGGACGTCTTCAAGCTCCAGGCAAATCTAAATGTGTATAGCCAGCTCCAAAATGTAACATCAGAAAGGATCTCACACCTCTCTTTATATCAGAGAAAGATGTAAAATATGCATCATGGCAGATGAACTCTTCAAAGGAAACTGGGTTTGTCACACTTTGTAACACTTCCTTCCGACTGCTGCGTTACCATTACAGAACTCCAGTGTACGGGATAAATCAAAGGGGACACAGACACTCACTAGTCCACAGGCAACCACTCAGCCTTAGCACAGCCTTCTGCAAACACAAAGCACTGTGCAAGCCCTAAGAATATAAAAATGATTTCTATCTTGATTCCTCTATACAGATTAGAGTCAGATCTCTCTCCAATCTTTCTGGGAAGTATTAAGCATTACTGCAACAAATTTCTCATTTAGATGTTACTTTTGCTTCTCCCCTTTGAGCTTAAAGTCTTAATTACACTTGGAAAAACACGAAATTCAAAGATGCTGTACCAATAAAAAACACTTGAAGTGAAAAGTGAAAACTCATGCAGAAAAACAATGAATGACTGGAAGATTATTGTACTAATCAGCAAACATAGGCTAATTCGTGCTGTTAGCACATGAAGGAAATAACTCTATTTCCCTCCAGCTCCCTTCAGTAGGAAGTAAAGACAGTAAACTCTACTGTGACTGTACAAGTTATGTTCCATATTCTGCCTGACTAGGATGTAATGGTATTTGGAAAAACACCATCCGCATCTAAATGAAGCACTTGGACTTATTCACTTGGGAAGACTTAAAGCAGATAAGCAACTGAAACTAGAGTATCTAGTTAACTGAAATTGTGTATTTAAGTGCTAAGTTAGATTAACATAATTTTACTAATTTTTCATCTTGGTATCTTCATCTGGATGTTGGCGATGCAACAGTATACAGTTTCATGGGAATGCCAGGTTCAAAATCACTTCAACACTGCTAATTTCTCACTAGGATTTTATTTGCTGACTGCAGATATGCTGGGGTTTAACAGAAGCCTGTGCTTGAGGGTTCAGGAATCAGTCAATGGCAATTGTGACTCACGGTTTTCTTCCATTTCCTTTCCACTACTTCTTGTATTGTTCTCAACCATGAAAAAAATAGTAATAATAAAGTAAAATAAAGTAAAATAAAGTAAAATAAAGTAAAATAAAGTAAAACAAAGTAAAATAAAGTAAAATAAAGTAAAATAAAATAAAGTAAAATAAAATAAAGTAAAATAAAATAAAATAAAATAAATAAAATAAAATCAGCCAGCCAGAAAACTCTTAGAAAAAAATGTCACTGCTTGCCTACAAGCACTTTGCCAAATGAAAGACTCAGTCAGAACCATGATCAGAAAAAGAAAGCAGCCACAGAATCCAAGCCAACATTTCATGAGCCGAAGGTCTAACAGCCTATTGACAAAAGCAGGCAATCCCAAATATGAGCAAATTACATAAACAGATGAATGTGCAGTTCCAAATTCCACACTGTGTTCATCAACTGACTACTTAGAAAATTAAAATTTGTTGAAAGTCTGGCCCAGGAACTTTCAAATTTCATGCCCTGGATTGAAATATGTCATTGAATGTTTCTTTTTTTTATTTTGAAAGCCTTGCAAAGCTTTATTACACCAATCATTTAACAAAATAACAAGACAATTAGAAAAATAAATTAAAATAATAGTGAGCAAGTTTAAGAAATGAGTCAGAATATCGTCAATCCTTGACTCCAATGCAAAGAATTAGAAAAATAATTCCCTCAGTACAATTATTAATGATATTCCACTTTAGAAAAAATGCTAGACTGGAAGGGAAAAGAGCTACAAGAACAGTTCTGTAAAATGGAGATATAACCTGACATCTTTTGACTTGTTACAATATCACTATTGTAAATTTTGAGAAGCAACAACTCTGGTTTGTTTAATGAAATATACATATTGAAGCTGTAATACAGCTTGATACATCCTGTAATATAGGAGCTCCTGTAAGTTTATTCTGCTTCACAATGTGTTGCTTCACAATGTATATGTAACCAGAAACCCTTACACTCATCACAGCTACAAGATAGGTATGAAGACATCCACAAAGTTTATAACAGCTTGAACGCTATTCCATGTCTCAGAATACTTTACACGGGCAGGTATGAGATTAGTCTTCTGCTACCACACCCAGAATTCTGAGCTGGAACAAAATGCTGAAAACAGCATCTCTTTGTAGCCAGAAAGAAGCTCGAGTTGTTAAGCTTCATGAAATATGATGTCACTGGAGTTTTCCTAGTGTTATGGGGACAGAAAAACAGAAGCAGAGAAATAGTATTTAGGTCACTTTTTTTTGCATATGAGCACAACAAATGTTTTGATTCTCCAAGGCTTTCAGACTCTGTCCCTTTTCAAGAAAATACTTGATGCAAACTACCTGTAATTCCACAGTTCCTTTGTTACGCTTAACTGTAAAGAACAGAGAAGCTGAATCCTACCATGTTTTTATTACCTTTAATCACTCTGCCTACAGAAGCAAGTAACTCTGTAGTTTTATGTTTCTGTGACATCCATTTTCCTGTTCAGGATTAACAGATGTACTCACTCACTATGTAGTCCCACACAAACCTCCACAAATATACACACAAATGCATAGAAGTCCAAAGGCATCGGAAATTCAACAAGAAGAACAAAAAATGCAGATACAATTTTTAATTAGCTTAACAGTGGCATATGTTTCCCTATGCCACCCACCATTGCATTCATGAGTTCCTGCTTAAGATCTGGGAATATGGATAGCTATAGAGGCTCTCTGGTAGGTTCCCTGTGCAGCAT